GGGATAAATATAATTTATTAAACGATCAAATATGAAGAATAAATAATTACATGAGCTGAAACCATCTAAATAATATTTTTGAATAAAATAGTATTTTAAAAATAAATCAGTCTAACAAATAAAACATTTGTATGTTTTAAGTTATTTTGCTCTGTGCAAAAGACAGATATCTGCTGCTTGGTCTGGAGAGTGGAAAGCTGGTTTAACCAAGGCCAAAGATCCAGAAGACCAAACAGGAGCTGTCAGTCTGAGGGACATGTTGGTCTAAAAGACATTTAACCATGAAATGTTCAGTTTGTGATGTTTATATGACACCCAGCCCCTCGGCCACTTAGGTAGTTTACAAAATTTATGCAGGGTAAAAGAATAAATTAAAAAACTTGTTGGACTGATTTGGCATGATGTCCTGAGACGTTGCAGCTGATAGGAGTCATAAAACAGAACAGGGGGACGTTAGATGTCCTGACGCCCCTCTAGATAAATGTGTTAAATGAGTGAAGGAAAATACAGTATGAGTGAGCACCAAGCAACAACCCCAGGTTCTCGCCTGAGAACCAGACCAAACATTTTATGTGCAACCCTGATTATATCCATAGGACCTTTAGGGACAAGTTTTTTTCCTTATTTAACCACAAAAATTTAAATAAAAAAATCAAAGTTACAAAAAAGAAAGAATACCAAGAATACCACTAATTCTGCATGACACTCAGAGTCCCACAGGATTTCAGTGATATAACCTAAATCAGAGGTTCTCAAACTGGGGTCCCAGGACCCCCAGGGGTCCGCGAGCTGTAAGTTGGTAGTCCTTAAAAAATTGTAATAAACTGTTAATTTAGTTTTCATTAAAAAAATACTTCATCAATGCATAAAGGGAACAATGCACCAGTAAAATTAACTTACTCAACCAAATAAACAATAATTATTCTCCTGGCATTCAGATATTAAAATGGTTGTATATCAGTTTTAGATCGACATGAGGTTTATGAGGGGGTCCCTGGAATATTTTCACCTTTATAAGGGGTACTCAGACCCAATAAGTTTGAGAAACCCTGACCTAAATGATTGAATGTGAAGTGCAGGTAAAGCAAGTGGTGGGCCTCCTGCCCACTTTAGCCTCCAGCTGTCACTCCTACCTGAGCCTTCACAAGATTTTTGCTGTAGAGGTTCCTCTCTAAAACAACAGATTCAAGCTGGTTCTCCTGCTGTCTGAGTTTACTCTCAGCTTCTGTGACTTTCTTTCTCCAGTCACAAATCTCTGTCTCTCTGACTTCAAGGTCACTGATTTTCTGCTGCACCTGTGGAATGAAGAGAACTCTGTTAGTCTGAGTACAATCAGAACATGCAGTATTTATCCCAATCCTTGGAGCTGCCTTCTGCATGAGGCTGCTGTTGTGGTTGATGTGGCGGTCCCGGTCTTTCCCCAGCTGCTGGATGATGGTGCGCTGCTTGTGGACCTCCTGGCAGTAGCCACTGATCTCATGCTCCAAGGTTCTCTTGTCCTGCTCCAGGAGTTTCACGAGACTCTGCTGTTTCTCCGCTGCCTGCACAGCCTTTGTCATGTTCTGCACATTTRGGAAACAACACTATCCTTCATCATTCACACAAACATTACCCCATTATTTATCAGAGAATAATGACTGATAAGCTACAACGCTGTGAATATCTGTGGTTTACTGTGACATATGAAACTCTTGTGTGACCTTCTGTAAGATGTCCCTCTCCCTGAGCAGCTCATCACTGGATTTTTTATCAGCTTCCACTTGTTTCTGAGCAGATTCTAGATCTGTAAAGGAAAGTAGATTGAGATATTATTAATCTCATATTTATAGGATTTTGTGTTGCTCTTGTTAGTAAAATCTTTTTTATATGTAGTGTACCTTCAGTTATGTTCTAATCATGGGTGTTTCGTTATCTGACCTTTAGAGTTAGTGGTTTAGTTTTAGATTCATCGTGTACAGAGTTGTTGTTTTTTCTTCTGCGGGGATGTCACAGCGAAGCATTTGAGAAATTTACTAATTGGTTTTACAACATATTCTCTTCCTGACACAACCTGGACTTGAACCTGCAGCCGAGATCTTAGCACAATCCATTGATCTAATACAGGTGTAGATTATTTACTTCCCTGATGACTGACATCTTTATTTAAGCCTCACCATGCTATAAAACGTTTAAAATCAGAAAACCAAAAATGAACTAAAAAACTGTTTAGTTCTCTTTATGAGTAAAAATGATCTGGGTTAAGTAGAACAACTGAAATAATTAAAATAATTATGATATGATGCAATACGACACGACACGATATGGTATGACACAATATAATGCAATACAATATGACACAATGCAATACGACACAGTACAAAATGATACAATACGACACAGTACAAAATGATACGACACAGTACAAAACGATACGACACAGTACAAAACGATACGACACAGTACAAAATGATACAATATGACACAGTACGAAACGATACAATACGACAGTACAAAATGATTCAATACGACACAGTACAAAACGATACGATACGACACAGTACGAAACGATACAATACGACAGTACAAAATGATACAATACGACACAGTACAAAACGATACGATACGACACAGTACAAAACGATACGATACGACACAGTACATAACGATACGATTCGACACAGTAAAAAACGATACGTTTCGACACAGTACATAATGATACGTTTCGACACAGTACAAAACTATTCGACACAGTACAAAACGATACGACACAGTACAAAATGATACGACACAGTACAAAACGATAAGATACAACAGTACAAAACGATAAGATACAACAGTACAAAACGATACGATACGACACAGTACAAAACGATAAGATACAACAGTACAAAACGATACGATACGACACAGTACAAAACGATTCGACACAGTACATAACGATTCGACACAGTACATAACGACACGACTCGACACAGTACAAAACGATTCGACACAGTACATAACGATACAATACGACACAGTACAAAACGATAAGATACAACAGTACATAACGATACGATTCGACACAGTACAAAACGATACGATTCGACACAGTACAAAATGATACGATACGACACAGTACATAACAATACGATTCGACACAGTACAAAACGATACGATACGACACAGTACATAACAATACGATTCGACACAGTACATAACGACACGACTCGACACAGTACAAAACGATACGATACGACACAGTACATAACGATACGATTCGACAGTACATAATGATACGATTCGACACAGTACATAACGATACGACTCGACACAGTACAAAATGATTCGACACTGTACAAAACGATACGACACAGTACAAAACGATACGACACAGAATAAAACAATACGACACAGTACAAAACGATACGACACAGTACAAAATGATATGACACAGTACAAAACGATACGATATGACACAGTACAAAACGATATGACGCAGTACAAAATGATACGATACAACAGTACAAAATGATACAATACAACATAGTACATAATGATCCGACACAGTACAAAACGATACGACACAGTACAAAACGATACGACACAGTACAAAACGATACGACACAGTACAAAAGGATACGACATAGTACAAAATAATATGACACAGTACAAAACGATACGATATGACACAGTACAAAACAATACGATACAACAGTACAAAATGATACGATACAACAGTACAAAACGATACGATACAACACAGTGCATAACGATACGATTCGACGCAGTACAAACCGATACGATTCGACACAGTACAAAACGATACGATACAACAGTACAAAACGATACGATTCGACACAGTACAAAACGATATGATACAACAGTACAAAACGATACGATTCGACACAGTACAAAACGATACGATACAACAGTACAAAACTGTACGATTCGACACAGGACAAAACGATACGATTCGACACAGGACAAAACGATACGATACAACAGTACAAAACTGTACGATTCGACACAGCACAAAACGATACGATTCGACACTGTACAAAACGATACGATACGACACAGTACAAAACGATACGACAGTACAAAACGATACGACACAGTATAAAACGATACGACACAGTATAAAACGATACGACACAGTACAAAACGATACGACACAGTATAAAATGATA